TGGGACTAATCTCACACAACAACAAGACAGCATACAGAGAGGAGTTGAGAGACCTTGAGCTGTGGTGCACAGACAACAATCTGTACCTTAACGTCAGCAAGACGTGTACAAGTATTTGTAGACTTCAGGAAATCTCCTGCGATTTACCCTCCACTGCACATTAAAGGAGTGGCGGTGGAAATAGTTAGAAGCTTCAAGTTCCTGGGGGTTTACATAACTAATGATTTCTCCTGGAACTAGAACACCACTTCTCTGGTCAAGAAGGCCCATCAACGTCTACACTTCCTGAGAAGGCTTAAAAAATTTGCCATGAGTAAGATCATCATGAGGAACTTTTACAGATGTGTAGTGGAGAGCATCATGACCAATAACATCACAGTCTGGTTTGGCAGCTGTTCTGCCGCTGACAAGAGGGCCCAACAGAGGGTGATAAAGTCTGCCCAGAACATCGTGTCAGACTTCCATCTATGGAGGGCATATACAAAGTCCCGTAAATAAAGAGAGCAACCACAATTGTGAAGGACAGTACCAATCCCTCTGCGGGATCGTTCTGCCCACTGCCATCTGGAAGATTCAGAAGTGTCTGAGCAAGGACCACGAGACTGAAGAACAGCTTTTCCCCCCAGGTGATCAGGTTTCTTAACAGCACTGGCTGACCACCACTGCCTTCTAGTTTTTTTAATCTATTGTATCTAGGGTTTCTTTTTTGCCTGTAAAGCACTTTGAACTGCATTGATTTGTTTGGAAAAGTGCTATATAAATAAAATTTGCTTGCTTGATGAACTATCCCTTTAAGTTTCTGTTTAACTCCCTCCCTTGCCTTTAACTTTTAACATTACAGAATTGATTAATTGATATATAATTTTCAATTATGAATGTGTGCTTGTTTAAATATTCTATCATTGAGTACAAAAAGCTCAATTGTAATTTAATGTTGATTTACATAATCAAAAATGATGTTATGAGTGGGTTGTCTACCATATCTATAATTAAAGGCACAATATATAAGATTTTTTCGCCACAAGAGGGCGCAGTTTCCAACAATAACAAAGGTGTAGGTTGATGACGCAGTGATGAGCTGAATGATGGGACTTGCTGTCAAGCTGATGGATCTAATAATGTTTATGGATGAGTGCAAACATTCATGTTTTTTAACATTACAGTGGTATGAAGCAGGTCGCGATTGCTAAAGAGACAGATTATCACACGCGAGTCCCGCGGATATAAAGGAATAAGGACATTTAATTCTACTGAACTACCCACAAGTGCTGGATTACTCACACAGGTCAGTTTATTAGACGAATTAAACTTGTGAGGTAACGCAGCGCTGCTTCACTTGGTCTAACGTTACACTATCACACTAAACGGCATTTAAATGTGTGTTGAAAGTTATAATGTTATACTACGTGTTAGTTCGTTTGCTATACGAAACTAGCAGTAAGCTAGATCATCATTAGAATAACATACTGACCATATTCTAACATTTTATCATGTTGACCTGTCCTAACGTTATATAACATTGATTTGTTTTATGTACATTTGCTCACCGTTCTAATAAAGCTGTCAAGTCGTGACTCGTGAAGCTCTGTCAAGTCCAAGTTAGTCGTGGACGTGGAGCTCTCGGCATCTCAAAAACGCCACGCTGATATTGATCCTCATTTTAGTTCTCCTTGTTTGTCCCAAAGTCTGCTTGCCATGGTCTTTGTTTGAAAGAAACAAGAACTGCGTGCCGGTAAACGTTACGCTGCACTACGCAGTTGTCCACGTCTGTGGCCATGGTTACGTCACGGCTATGGCAGTATGAACAGAAACCGAGGATAAAGCGCATATTGCGTCATTGACAGGCGGCATTTTTTTCCTTATTTAAAATTGGAATTTCTCTGAAATAAAAAATCTTTGGAGACTTTTGGGATATTGTAAGTACACAACTGCAGGAAATATATCACACTGTGCAAGTGATTTTTGCTAAATTCTTACATATTGTACCTTTAAGAGCTTTAGATGACATGAAATTTCGGTCAATTATTTAAGTGTTTTACACCCCCTTACATGGTTCTTAATTATGTATAGGTGTAGGTTGAGGTAAGATGAAATCTTAATTTACCTTAAAGGGGTCATATAATGCCATTTTTGTACAAGCTAATATGATTCTTTAGGGTCTAAATTAAAAGTTTGTAATATACTTTAATTAAAAATTCTCATTAGTATTGTAAGAAAACACTTATTTTACCTGGTCAAAAACAGCTCTGTTTTCAGCACGCCGTTTCAGTGCATATGACTTTAAATGATAATGAGCTTTGCTCACCCCGCCTCTCTGTTCTGTGCTACACCGTTTGTAACTCAATAACACAATAACCATAACGCGTTGTTCAGTATAAACGTGGGTATGAATTATATTAAGAACGTCATACATAGAAAACATGCCGTAATGTACCCTGAGTGTAAACCTTAGACGCATTAATTGTGAAGCGTGCAGCTAACAATTTGCAAAGATTAATATATTAATATAAAGTTTAATAAAACGTTACACTCACTTCCGTTCTTCTGGAGATTCAGCAGGAACACGAATATCTGGTACCGATCCTTTTTTCATGAGCAGCTTCTTAGCAAATCCAGCTTTATACTGATCCTCGTTTATAAAGCAGTCTGGTGTGTGAAATGATTCGCGCAAACATGAGAGCATTGACGTTGCTCGTGGGGAATATTCCCTTCGAAAACAAACATAGCCACTGCGTCTTCAGTGGTTCGGATTTAGGAACATTAAAATGACTGCTGTGTTCGTTATTACACCCAAGAACAGAACACCACAATCGCTTAGATGCCATTCTGCTCATAGACAGTGCTCCAGCATATCAACAATGACCGCGCCGCGCGGACTATGATTGACAGCTCCCTCATGAGCGAGGGCGGGTCTGTGTTGAAACGCTCCAGTCAATCAACAATCGTGGGGGGGGCGTGCGAGCTTGTGACGTCACAGGCTCGAACGGCTCGATTTGAGGCAGGGGAAAACATATAAGGAGATTAAAACAAAACCACTGGATGGATTTTTATCATTATATGATGGTTGTGTACAGACACTGCCAACACACATTTCAGTACAATCAACTTGTAAAAGTGCATGTACCATTATATGACCCCTTTAATAAAGTTTGAAGGGTTAGTTCACCCAAAAATGAAAATTCTGTCAGTAATTACTCACCGTCATGTTGTTCCAACCCCGTAAGACTTTCGTTCATCTTCGGAACACAAATTAAGATATTTTTGATTAAATCTGAGAGCTGTCTCACTCCTTCATAGGCTGCTAGGTAATTTATATCTGCCAGCCCAGAAAAGGTAGTAAAGACATCGTTAAAATAGTCCAAGTGACTACAGTGGCTCAACCTTAAGTTTATCAAGTGACAAGAATACTTTTTGTGTGCAAAAAACAAACAAAATAATGACTTTATTCAACTATTCATTTTCTTCTGTGTGGGCTTCTGAGTGAGTTCACGTAGTGTAACAGCGCAGTGCTTCTGGGTTGTACGTCAGAATGTAGGCTCACTATTGGCCAGCAGTGATGCTGGCCAATAGAGAGCCTACGTTGACCAGCGACAACACATGACCAGCGTCAACACATGACCAGCGTCGGCCAATAGTGAGCCTACGTTCTGACATAGAACCCAGAAGCGCTGCGCTGTTACACTACGTCAACAGAGTAGGAGAATGACATGGAAGAGAAGAGATGGTTGAATAAAGCAGGGGCGTAGAATTTAGTAGGGAAATCTTTAGTAGGGACGTGTCCAGTAACACTGATATATCCCTAGCAATAATTGCGATCAAAACTTAAAATATATTTATATGTTGATGTCCCCGTCCCCACCAATTTCAAAATCAAACCTACGCCACTGGAATAAAGTCGTTATTTTTGTTGTTTTTTGCGCACAAAAAGTATTCTCGTCGCTTGATAAACTTATGGTTGAGCCAGAGTAACTTGGACTATTTTAACGATGTCTTTACTAACTTTTCTGGGCTGGCAGATATCAATTACCTTGCAGCCTATGAAGGAGTGAGACAGCTCTCAGATTTAATCAAAAATATCTTAATTTGTGTTCCGAAGATGAACGAAAGTCTTACGGGGTTGGAACAATATGAGGGTGAGTAATTACTGAAAGAAATTTCATTTTTGGCTGAACTAACCCTTTAATTTTTTCTCTTGATCCTAGATGACACAAAATCTCATCTCAGTTCTTTTGATGAATGGTTGTGCTATTTTTAATTTTATCAGTTAATCTGAATATCAGCATTTGTGATATTTAGTCAGTCGAAAAAGTTTTGAGGTTATTTAAATTTTGTGAAATCTAATTTTGTGATTCTGGAAAATAGTGATCTACAGGTCATAGAATAATTTTAACTTTCATTTTAATCTATTTTTCTGCTTTGTCTGTCATCAGTTATTCAATTATTATCAACTAAATTGTCAAACAAGATTTTTAAATCCAATTGTTTATTTAGTATTTTACACTAATGCCACTTATTAAATATCAATAATTATATAAAAAGTAATTTATACATTCTTTAAAATTATATCCTGCGGGGCTTCTTACCCCAGGTGGGAGGTGGGGGCAACTTACCCCCCCCCCCCCAATATTCCAATATTTGACATTTTGTGCTTATAACAAAAAAATTAGGAAATGTTTCTATTTATTTTCTATAATAACACATGGCTGATGCATCATCCTCCTGCTGCACATGCATATCTTATGTTGCGATTTAAAAGTACATTCACTGTTCTTAAGGGGGGCATCTTCCCCCATCCATATTCAATAAGCATTTATTTGACACTATACCTAAAACTGCACAGAGCAATAAATGAATGCATGCTTGCGGCAAAAAGTTGGACGTGTTTTACTTAATTATTATTATCATCATACATAACTGCATGTTAACCATGTCACACCGATGCATTAGCGTTCATTTGATGGAGTTATTTGTAAGGCATGCACGACACGAGTTGCTCTTACTCGGCGTATCCCGTAGCCCACGGCAACCTCCGCGTCTCTTTCAGGATCAGGATAGGTCTAACGATGTGATCCGCCGAGCACTCGATCTCATCCGGCGACAGTCCTAGAAACTTCGGTCTCATGTAGGGGTATTTGAGCGGCAGGTCCGAGCCACCCGAACGTTCATTATTATTAATAGACGATACGGCCATGATTCCACCCATGAAGCTGGACACTGCGGATTTGACGCGCGTGAACATGTCTGTGGAGCGCCGTGTTCGTGCGTCTCCTTCTGTCCGATGATCCCCCACCAGCACGATCCACAGCCCTGCGACACGTTGAATGAAATCGTGTTCGCTTCACAAATTATCCAGTAAGTGTCTGAACCATAGCGGAAATAGTCCAAGGATTAGAAGTCATGTGATCTCATGGATCTGTTTTCTGTGCGGCTTACGTGACAGTTTGCGTGGGACTTGCACACGATGCACACACACACACACACACACACACACACACACACACACACACACACACACACACACACACAAAAGTCATGTAAAAATTCTATGGTTTTATGTATCAGGACATCATAAAAAATCTTGGCTGATCTTAAAATTAGGTAAATACAACCTCAGATGAACAACAACACATGACATATTACACATCATGTTATTATTTATTTAACAAAAACCAGGCCAAAATAGAAAATCCATGGGTGACACCATGAAATCCAAGTACACCCTTAATGCTTCCATAGGAATTAATAGGGTAAGTAGCAGTGAGGCGCTGCAAATCAAATGTCTTTGATTAATTTATCATCAGCATGTGTGACTATAAAAACAGAAGTTTTGGCAGTTTGCTGGTCTGGAGCATACAGGTGTGTGTTAACAGTAACACAATGCCAAGGAGGAAAGACATCAGCAATGATCTCAGAGAAGCAACTGTTCCTGCCATCAATCTGGGAAGGGTTATACAGCCATTTCCAAACAATTTTAAGTCTGATATACTACAGTTAGCTTAGACTTCCACTTTTACAAGTGGAAAACATTTAAGACAGTTAATGCTCCCAGGAGTGGACGTCCCAGCAAATTCACCCTAAGGTCAGCCGTGTAGGCCTACTGCTCATTGATCAGGGAAAATGCCAAACACTCAAGAAGAGCTACACCTCAGACTCTATACAGGCCTCAGTTAACATGTTAAATGTTCAAGTTCATGACAGTACAATTAGAAAAAGACTGGACAAGTATGGCATGTTTGGAAGGTTTGCCAGGAGAAAAGCTTCTTCTCTCTGAAAAGAACATGGCAGCGCGGCTTAGGTTTGCCAAATTGCATCTGAGCAAACCTCAAGACTTCTGGAACAATGTCCTTTGGACAGACAAGACTAAAGTGAAGATGTTTGATCATAATGCACAGCGAAAAGCTGGTTAGGCGAATACCAAACACAGCATATCAGCACAAACACCTCATACCAACTGTCCATCAGCTGGTGGAGGGCTGATCATTTTCTTACATACTTAGACAGTTACCTCTGATAACAGATCACTCTAAATTGTAATGTGGACAAATAAATGTGATTTTAATTTAATTTAATTTAATTTAATTTAATTTAATTTAATTGACCTTTTTTAAGACCTGCTAACTTAATAAAGAGATGCTTTTTATTATGTTATGACACCTAAAACCATGAAATTCTAAAGGTTGTCATTTCTTTCACACACACACACACACACACACACACACACACACACACACACACACACACACACACACACACACACACACACACACACACACACACACACACACACACACACACACGCACACACACTTTAGCATAGGCTGTGGCGTAGCCATCATTTCAAAAGTGGGGGGGGGGCAGAATGTCAAGCATTATACCAGGTGTTTTTTTTTCTTCAGAATTTACAGGTTTTTGCTTAATTGGCTTAATATGCTATTATGTTTAAAACAATAAAACAGAAAGAAAGAAATGCAGATGTTCTGTACTTTATATTGCACATCGTATTATATAAGCCTATATATTGTTTACATATTTCAATTTTTTTTTTTTTGTGTATGTTGTTTTGTATGTGAATGGCACACAGTATTGGATACATTTTTCCATCTTAAAAATATATCTAAAATACGCCATATGCTCTCATTGGGAAATGCGGAACAATTAGTTCATGCGTTCATGACCTCAAGGCTAGACTATTGTAATGCTCTACTGGGTGGTTGCCCTGCACGCTTAATAAATAAACTACAGCTAGTTCAAAACGCAGCAGCTCGAGTTCTTACCAGAACCAGGAAGTATGACCATATTAGCCCGGTTCTGTCAACACTGCATTGGCTCCCTATTAAACATCGTATAGATTTTAAAATATTGTTGATTACTTACAAAGCACTAAATGGTTTAGCTCCGCAGTACTTGAGCGAGCTCTTAACGCATTATAGTCCTTCACGTCTATTGCGATCTCAAAATTCCGGCCAGTTGATAATACCTATCTAAATCGACTGCTGGCGGTAGATCCTTTTCCTATTTAGCACCAAAACTTTGGAACAGTCTTCCTACCATTGTCCGGGAAGCAGACACACTCTGTTAGTTCAAAGCTAGACTAAAAACACATCTCTTTGACCTAGCATACACATAATACATTATAGACTTCTATAATTCAATGTTAGGCTGCATAGATTAGGTCAGCCGGAACTGGGAACACTTCCCTTAAATCTTGATGTACTCGTTACATCATAAAAAGAATCGCATCTACGCTAATATTAGTGTCTTTGTTTATCCCAAGATTTTCCCGCAGCCTGCCGGATCTAGGCCGTATCCAGATCTGACGAAGGAGATTCGCCTGGACCCGATGACAATGCAGTGCTGAAGTGACAACTATCCTCTCCCTATGGAGGATCCCTTTCCCGCTCTACAGATAAAGCGTTGTGAATTTCGGTTCGCGTACCCCGAAGTGATAAAATAAAACAAAATTCTGTATCAAAATTTATAGGCAAGACAAGTAGTTTGTTTAGGCATGGGTTGTATGGAATTACATATTTTCAAAAGCACATAACTATAGAATCAATTCTGAATGTGCATGTGAACGCCGTCAGCCTTAATCACAGGTTCGCGTTTAAAGTCTGATCATTTCGATGGAGGTGAATCAATCAAAATTAACTTTAGCTGGAAATAACATTATTCAAGAACCGCTATAAAACCAAAACAATCTCTGTTACCTTAAATTATATGTTTATCTCTGTAAAGCTGCTTTGAAACAATCCATTGTTAAAACCGCTATATAAATGAAGATGACTTGACTTGACTTGACATGCACATTCACTCTCTACTTTGTTCTAGTCCACATTTCAGGAAGGAAATAAAAAAGTCACTCAAACCACACAATTTCAAAGATGTATTGAACTCAATTGACAAACATGTCACAGTAAGGAGACCTTAAATCAGTAGAACAATTGCAATAAACAGTTAGGTTCATTTTATTTAGGCTTTTCTTTTTAGGTAGGTTTGTTCAGCAGATTATTCCAGAATTAAAACTAGCATATATTATTTTAAGCTACTTGAAACTGCCAAAAGTGTTTCTGCGACGCTGATTCCCATCTATGAATTGCTGAGCAATCATCTCCCTGTCTATACTGTCCAGTTTGTCACTGTGGATGTGACACACAGCAACACTGTTTAGACGAGACTGTGTCATTGTGCTTCGGAGCCAGGTTTTTAATCTCCGAAGACAGCTGAAGCTTCTTTCAGCCTCTGCTGAAGAAACAGGGCAAACAAGGAGCAACCTCACAAGTGTTTCCACTTGGTCAAAGAGTTGGTGGACTTCTGGCAACATATTCCGAAGAGTGTTTGCAGCCTCAGTAGTTGACTGATAATTATACTTTGACTTGAACATTGCTAATTGCACCCTCAGTGAAGCCCAGTGCAATTCTGGATATTCCCAGGTAGAAGGTGACGTTCCCGCGAGCATGGGTAACGTTTCCTAAAAGTTCTCTAAAGGTGACGAACATTCCGAACCTTTACAGAACATTAGGGACGTTCCTGAAACGTCCTCTTTTGGTAATGAAAGTGCTGCAGTTCAACGTTCCTTAAATGACTTTAGGGGGACGTTCCGTAATGGTAATCTTATGGTCACATAACAACGTTACAAAGAGGACGTAATCAAAACGTTCTCATATGGGTCTAAGTTGGTCCTATTATAACGTTCCTTATAAGACTTTAGGGGATGTTCCGTAATGGTAATCTTATGGTCACATAACAACGTTACAAAGAGGATGTAATCAAAACGTTCTCATATGGGTCTAAGTTGGTCCTATTATAACGTTCCTTATAGGACTTTAGGGGGATGTTCCGTAATGGTAATCTTATGGTCACATAACAACGTTACAAAGAGGACGTAATCAAAATGTTCTCATATGGGTCTAAGTTGGTCCTATTATAACGTTCCTTAAATTACTTTAGGGAGACGTTCCGTAATGGTAATCTTATGGTCACATAACAACGTTACAAAGAGGACGTAATCAAAACGTTCTCATATGGGTCTAAGTTGGTCCTCTTATAACGTTCCTTAAATTACTTTAGGGAGACGTTCCGTAATGGTAATCTTATGGTCACATAACAACGTTACAAAGAGGACGTAATCAAAACGTTCTCATATGGGTCTAAGTTGGTCCTATTATAACGTTCCCTATAGGACTTTAGGGAGACGTTCCGTAATGGTAATCTTATGGTCACATAACAACGTTACAAAGAGGACGTAATCAAAAGTTCTCATATGGGTCTAAGTTGGTCCTATTATAACATTCCTTATAGGACTTACGGAGACGTTCCGTAATGGTAATCTTATGGTCACATAACAACGTTACAAAGAGGACGTAATCAAAACGTTCTCATATGGGTCTAAGTTGGTCCTATTATAACGTTCCTTATAGGACTTACGGAGACGTTCCGTAATGGTAATCTTATGGTCACATAACAACGTTACAAAGAGGACGTAATCAAAACGTTCTCATATGGGTCTAAGTTGGTCCTATTATAACGTTCCTTAAATTACTTTAGGGAGACGTTCCGTAATGGTAATCTTATGGTCACATAACAACGTTACAAAGAGGACGTAATCAAAACGTTCTCATATGGGTCTAAGTTGGTCCTATTATAACGTTCCTTGGACTTTAGGGGACGTTCCGTAATGGTAATCTTATGGTCACATAACAACGTTACAAAGAGGACGTAATCAAAACGTTCTAATATGGG